CCGTGGGGTTTTGGGCAGCAATGGGGGTGTAATTTGGTTGGCCTTGATGTGGTGGAAGGGGACGGTTCAAGGGGGACTTGCCTTTCTTGAGTTGAGCTTCCACTTTTAGGGCTAGCTTTGTTAAATCTTCAAGGCTTTCAAAATTTTGCAGCTCCACGGTGTTGGCTATTTGGGTGTTTAAACCAAATAAATATCTCACAAAGGTTTGTGAGTCATTCTCTTGAAGATCACATCGCATCAAGAGTTCTTCAAACTCTCGGTTGTACTCTTCTACGGACTGATTTCCTTGTCGTAGGTTTTGAAGCCTAGCAAAGTTGTCCCTTATATAATGAGTAGGAATGAACTTCTTCTTCAATAAAGCTCTCATCTTGGTCCATGTTTTAACAGCAGCCTTGCATTCTCTTTTGCGCTTGGTGGTAGTGTTAGTCCACCAAGTAGATGCGTAGCCTCTGAGTTTTAAGGCCACAAGCTTGACCTTCTTATCCTCCAATACCTCGGTATAGTCAAAGACACGTTCAATCGTCTCTAACCACTCTATGAAATCATCGGGGTCATCTTTGCCATCAAAAGTTGGGATTTCAACTTTGAAATCAGTAGATGACTTCTCTTGGTTGTTTCTCCTTGTGGGACGAGGATGAGTTTCTGATTGGGCTTCTTCCTCTTGCTCATCTTCACTTTCTTCAGGGGTATTCATCATATTCATTTTGAATTTGGTGAGTTGAGCAATCTGCTTAGCAAAGTACTCCACTTGGGTCTTGAGTTCTGTATTCGAGGCCCACAGCATCAAGAGTTCTTCAAACTCTCGGTTGTACTCTTCTACGGACTAATCCAAGTTCTGAGACAGGTGATAATCGATTATCTCTTACTAATAATCGATTAATAGGGTTTGATACAGAACGAGGAATGTTCTGAGGAATTAGATAGTCGATTGTCTCTACAAGATAATCGATTCACAAGGATTTACCCCAAACTGGATATCTTCTGAGATGAGTGATAATCGATTTTCTCTAGGGAGATAATCGATTATGGAGCATTTGCAGGAATACGTTGAGAGGATTCAGAGGGAAGCAATAGTCGATTATCTATGTTGGATAATTGAGTATCATGTCTAAAAAAAATAAAGGTTTTATTCTGCCTTTTGTTGTTCACCTTCGGCCTGGGCTTAGTAATGAAAAACAAAGACTTTATTTGGACAGACAAAATGATTTTGGATGTTTGTGGGAGAAGGTTTGTGGGTTATGGTTTGGTTTAGGGAGGGTTTTGGGCAGCAAGGGTTATGGTTTGGGCTTTTTTATGGAAAGAAGAAATGAATTCAACCCAATAAGGATTATAATAATTAAGCAATAACTCCTGATTTTGCTTACCCTTTGGTGATGCATGGTGGGGTACAACAAAAATCATCACAGCCATAAACTCATTCACACCGGAGTAAAATGGATACATTTCAGGCTATGTTCGTTTGAGGCACTGAAGAAACCGACGCTATATGGCGTGGCGTTACCGAATTAACCACCGCTGTAGCTCAGATTTGAAATTAGTTTTGTGCTTGAGTGATTAGAAACAAATTCGCCATGGCTGCAACAACGTTTAATTCCGTAGTGCCACACCAAGATACGTTCATTCCTACGATGCCTCAAACTTAAAGAGACTAAAGATCTCAGAAACAGATTTCGTTTCTTCAAAATCATCACAGCCATAAACTCATACACAGACCCACGTGAATGGCTACATTTCAGGCAATTTAAGAAACCAAATCGCAATGGATTCTACAATGGTGTTTAAATTCGTAACACCGCGCCATGTTACATTGGTTTCTTAAATTGCCTGAAATGAACAAAGCCTGAAAATCAGAGAAACATATTTTATTACTTCAAAATCATCATATGCCGTAAAAGTTTTACTCACCAGCATGAAATTTAGGCGTTGGAGGCAATGAAAGAAAAAAAATTGCCATGGCTGGTATAATTGTTGTTAGTAAGGTGACCACACGCCAAGTTACTTTCAGGTTTCTTCACTGCCTCAAACAAACAAAGCCTAAAAATCACTGTAACAGAATTGGGAAGCCTAAAAATAAGATCCTAAAACCGTTTTATCTCAGATTTGAAATCCAGTGTTGTGCTTGAGTAATATAAGAAACGAATTCGCCATGGCTGCAACAGCGGTTGAATCCGTAATGCCACGCAAAGATACGTTCGTTTCTTATATGAACAAAGGCTAAAAATCTTAGAACCGGATTTCATTTCTTCAAAATCATCACAGCCATAAACTCATTCCCACCGGAGTAAAGGGATACATTTCAGACTATGTTAGTTTGAGGCACTGAAGAAACTGACGCAATATGGCACGACGTTACCGAATTAACCACCGTTGTAGCTCAGATTTGAAATTAGTTTTGTGCTTGAGAGATTAGAAACAAATTCGCCATGGCTGCAACAACGTTTAATTCCGTAGTGCCACACCAAGATACGTTCATTCCTACGATGCCTCAAACTTAAAGAGAAAGATCTCAGAAACAGATTTCGTTTCTTCAAAATCATCACAGCCATAAACTCATACAAAGACCCACGTGAATGGCTACATTTCAGGCAATTTAAGAAACCAAATCGCAATGGATTCTACAATGATGCTTAATTGCGTAACACCCCGTCATATTACATTGGTTTCTTAAATTGCCTGAAATGAACAAAGCCTTAAAATCAGAGAAACATATTTCATTACTTCAAAATCATCATATGCCATAAAAATTTTACTCACACCAGCACAAAATTTAGGCGTTTGACGCAATGAAAGAAACCAAATCACCATGGCTGCTTCAACGGTGGTTAATTCCGTAACGCCACGCCAAGTTGCATTCAATTCTTCAATGCCTCAAACTGTAAAAACCTGAAAATCAAAGTAATTAATTTCATAAATTCAAAATCTGAACACCCGTGATTTCTTACACACACCCACACAAAATTGATACACTTGAGGCAATCTAAGAAACCAAATTGCCATGGAGGGTATAATGGTGGTTAGTAAGGTAACACAACGCCAAGTTATGTTCAGATTTCTTAACTGCCTCAAACAAAAAAAGCCTAAAAATCACTGTAACAAAATTGGGAAGCCAAAAAATAAGAGCCTAAATTCGTTTTAGCTCAGATTTGAAATCCAGTGTTGGGCTTGAGTCATATAAGAAACGAATTCACCATGGCTGCAATAGCGGTTGAATCCCTAATGCCACGCCAAGATACATTCATTTCTTATATGAACAGAGGCTAAAAATCTCAGAAACGGATTTCGTTTCCTCAAAATCATCACAGCCATAAACTCATTCACACCGGAGTAAAATGGATACATTTCAGGCTATGTTCGTTTGAGGCATTGAAGAAACCGACGCGATATGGCGTGGCGTTACCGAATTAACCACCGTTGTAGCCCAGATTTTAAATTAGTTTTGTGCTTGAGTCATTAGAAACAAATTCGCCATGGCTGCAACAACGTTTAATTCCGTAGTGCCACACCAAGATACGTTCAATCCTACGATGCCTCAAACTTAAAGAGACTAAAGATCTCTTAAACAGATTTCGCTTCTTCAAAATCATCACAGCAATAAACTCATACACAGTCCCACGTGAATGGCTACATTTCAAGCAATTTAAGAAACCAAATCGGAATGGAGTCTACAATGGTGCTTAATTGCGAAACACCGCGCCATATTACATTGGTTTCTTAAATTGCCTGAAATGAACAAAGCCTGAAAATCAGAGAAACATATTTCATTACTTCAAAATCATCATATGCCATAAAATATTTACTCACACTAGCACGAAATTTAGGCGTTTGAGGCATTGAAAGAATTCAAATTGCCATGACTGCTTCAACGGTGGTTAATTCCGTAACGCCACGCCAATTTGCATTGAATTCTTCAATGCCTCAAATTGTAAAAACCTGAAAATCAAAGTAATTAATTTCATAAATTCAAAATCTGAACACCCGTGAATTTTTATACACACCCACACAAAATTGATACACTTGAGGCAATCTAAGAAACCAAATTGCCATGGCTGGTATAATGGTGGTTAGTTAGGTAACCCAACGCCAAGTTACGTTCAGTTTCTTCACTGCCTCAAACAAACAAAGCCTAAAAATCACTGTAACAGAATTGGGAAGCCTAAATATCACGGCCTAAAACCGTTTTAGCTCAGATTTAAAATCCAATGTTGGGCTTGAGTCATATCAGAAACGAATTCGCCATGGCTACAATGGCGGTTAAATCCGTAATGCCACGCCAAGATACGTTCGTTTCTTATATGAACAAACGCTAAAAATCTCATAAACGGATTTCGTTTCTTCAAAATCATCACAGCCATAAACTCATTCACACCGGAGAAAAATGGATACATTTCAGGCTATGTTCGTTTGAGGCATTGAAGAAACCGACGTAATATGGCGTTGCGTAACCGAATTAACTACCGTTGTAGCTCAAATTTGAAATTGGTTTTGTGCTTGAGTCATTAGAAACGAATTCGCCATGGCTGCAACAACGTTTAATTCCGTAGTGCCACACCAAGATACGATCATTCCTACGATGCCTCAAACTTAAAGAGACTAAAGATCTCAATGAAAGAAACCAAATTGCAATGGCTGGTATAATGGTGGTTAGTAAGGTAACACAACGCCAAGTTATGTTCAGATTTCTTCACTGCCTCAAACAAACAAAGCCTAAAAATCACTGTAGCAGAATTGGAAAGCCTAAAAATAAGAGCCTAAATTCGTTTTAGCTCAGATTTGAAATCCAGTGTTAGGCTTGAGTCATATAAGAAACAAATTCGCCATGGCTGCAACAGCGGTTGAATCCGTAATGCCAGGCCAAGATACATTCGTTTCTTATATGAACAAAGGCTAAAAATCTCATAAACGGATTTAGTTTCTTCAAAATCATCACAGCCATAAACTCATTCACACCGGAGTAAAATGGATACATTTCAGGCTATGTTCGTTTGAGGCATTCAAGAAACCGACGTAATATGGCATGGCGTAACCGAATTAACCACCGTTGTAGCTCAAATTTGAAATTGGTTTTGTGCTTGAGTCATTAGAAACGAATTCGCCATGGCTGCAACAACGTTTAATTCCGTAGTGCCACACCAAGATACGTTCATTCCTACGATGCCTCAAACTTAAAGAGACTAAAGATCTCATAAACAGATTTCGTTTCTTC